CTACAGCCTAATGTTTACAGAGTCACTTTGTATGGGCCCTCATACCTTTTTTTCTGCCTTTGCTGCCTGTGTGCAATGTCAGTTTGTACATGATGAATCCAAACTCACTCTTTCTCCCCCTCAGAATGATACAAAATTCAATCCACCACCTGCGCCTGAGGAAGCATGACCAGCCATGAGCGCCATCTAGCAGCTGGAGGGGGAAGGACAGTTGGCTGCACCTTTTAGCACAAAGACATAGAGACTCCTCTTGTAACTATCAATATCAACCATTTTCCTGTTGAAGTTTGTTAAACACACAATATCCTGTAATACTTCTGAAAGCTTGAGTTCTTTGAGTTTTGCTCTGAAGTCGTATTTGTCACAAGGTTTCTTACAGTAAAACTGTGGACATTGAAAGACAATGCCAGCAGAAGTAACACTTGGGTACCTTGTTGATATTTTTGACAGTGCTGAAGTGATAGTCACTGCCCTCTCTTACAATGATGTGTTCCTCATTTCTAATTACATTTGCAGCCACTTTCCCCATGGAATGAGAAGAGTAACCCCCTCTTATTTTTGGTGGAGACAAAACAGAATATGTAGACGATATGTTTTGAAGAAATAAATCTTGTTTATTCCCTTCTGAGGTAAATCTTATGTTTATTTATTGATTTAGGATCAACATGTAAATATATATATACAAATATCTTCCTCAATTTTTGGCAACAGTCAAAATATATAATAACACTTTTTCAAGAATGTTCAAGAACATCCACTACAAATTACAACATGAAACAAAGGAATTGAAGAAAAGAGGAATTATTCAGTGTTTTTACGTATACGCACATAGTATTTTCCAAAACTTGCCAAAAGCTGGTACAACAACCATTTGGAATACTGGTAACAGTAGCTTTACACACTTTGAGAGGTGTCCACTTATAAGACATGGAATGATTGTCACACCTAAACCCTGCATATCTAAGTCAAAGTATTGCATAATTTGGAAGATATTCCTGCTGAATTTGATGATAATTGTCCTAGAAAACCAATTTCCTATCACTTCAATACTGAAACTTTCATACATTAATATACATGTATGTACATGTATATATGTGTGGATGTGCAAGAGTGCCTGTGTGTACTAGCACCTTTTATTGTGTATGTGGCATATATATATGTACAAGATACAAATACATTGTATGCAGTAGTATACAAAATACCCTCTGCAAGTGCAAACATACCACAGAAAAACATCCTCAGTACAAACGTACTACTGCAACATAAACGATAACAATACACAGAACACCTCAGTCCAGAAGCCTTCTGTACACTTTTTGGACTTGATTTATATATAATTAGCTAATCAGACTGATCATCAACAACAACGCACTCATAAGATACTCTCCTGGGATAGTGCCCGGTACTGTCTCTGTTTATAGAATCGTAAGCGTGGTAGTTTCCCAACGGCGCTGGCTGTGTCTCCTGTTCTGAACTCTCCCTCCTTCTGGCTACCTCTACGTTGTCTCTGCCTGCTGAATAAGCAAAGTCTGGCGTGTGCTCCATTGCAGCGGCGCCACCTTTCCTCTGGGACGGTAAGTGCAGTGCGTGGTTGGCAGCCCTGGCAGCCTCCAGCTGGGCGATGGTGCTGTAGTTCACGTCGCTGCCGTCAGGGGGCCGCCGCGTGGAGAAGTAGACAAAGTTGGGCGTGGTGTTGTTTTCCCTGTACATGACTTCTGTGGGTAACTTTGGGCCCGTTTGTTCTGTAACATCTGCGTATGTACCGTTCTCTTCTTTCACTGCAGGGGGTGAGCCATTCTCATCAGAGGGGGTTTTCCTGTACACAAGAAAATAATACATTAGTGTCTACAATGACATTTCTTGGTGTCCACTCTGAACAGTAAATGACTGACATGACCAACTGTTTGTTGGTTCTTAATGATACTATTTTTATACTCAGATGAAATATCAGAAGTCAAGAGTGTATACATGTACTTGATTGCTAGAACTAGCATTTATGCAAATGATTTCCTGATGACAATGTAACTTTGATGTCAGAATGATATTTTGTTAGCAACTGATGATTGTATCTTCAAATGCTGTAATGTATCAAATTGTTGCTAGTATGCCAGTAATAAGTAAAAACATAGTGAACTTACCTCTTTCTTCTCATGATGAAAAGGACAACAAAAAGCACCACAATAAGCAGCAGGGCACCCAGTACGATACCTACGATTGTACCTGTCGAGAAAAATTTGGGAAGTTCATAATTACATTTGACGGCAAATAAATATATGTGATGGTAGGTAGTAGGTAGTAGTAACATTGAATAGGTTGTAACATTGCCCTTTTCAGACTGTAATGGCAGTGGGTTGTTAATCCCCTGTGTCTTAGGACACAGTACCTTTTACATGTACCTCCCCCTACCCATTTTACACCTGGTTTGAGTGAGGAAAGTTGTGTAAAGTGCCTTTATAAAGGACAGGAATGCCAGGAATCAAACCCGTGACCTTTTGATCTCATGTCTGCTAGCCTAACCACTGGGCCATTTGATGCCACAACAGTGTACTAGTATTTGATAGGTGAAAAAGTAGAATTGGATTATTTCTACTCACCAGCAGTTAGTGGTTGTGATCTTGGCTGATTGAGAGATGGAGAGTTGGACATCCCAGAAGGCATTGCTGTTAGAACAGAAACATTATGTCAGCATAAATGCAATAATCATTGGTATTGCAGCCAAAGGTGACATAGAAGCTAATCTCCAAGCTGATGAACTAATGATCTGGCTCAGCGTTTTTTACTAGGAAAGTTAGAGAGGTACATTACCAGAATAATGTCGCAAAAGCACTACTAATAATAAAAACACTATATCTGCACTTGGAAATTAATCATAAGCAACAAAACATGAAATTTAACGTCAATGTGCATGGCATGTAGAATTTGTCCTAGAGAAATGCTTTGGAGACCCATGACTTAGGAGTGTACATTTTGTATCAATGTCATTTTACCTGTGTAAGAGGTTGTATTAGCCACTCCTTTGCATGCAATGACTGGTTGAGGAAGGAAGATTTCAAGGGAAGGTACATACAATATAAGATCCACAGCAATTTCAGCACACTATTGGAGTCAAAATACAGCCTTACACGTACAAGAGAAAAATGTCACACAAGCCTACTCTCCAAGCAGAGGTTTGGGTTTTGGGGGTATTTTTAGTGTGTTTTTAGGCTTTTTTATCGGGGTTTCTCTTTTGCACTGAATTTTTTTTCCCACCAAACCCAACCTCTGCCGGCACTCACCCCGGGGAGGGGCAAACCTATTAAAAGCTATTCAAAACAGACGATAGTGCCCCTCCCCGGGAACCATCAAACTGTCATTAGGGATATCCATTTTATTGTGGTGGATTATCACACATCTAGCCAGTCAGGAAGGCATTCATTGGGCCACACGCCTCCTGCTGACTGTGCCTATTCATGCGTCTGGTTCACACCTCCTTGCAGAACGACTGAAATGTGTTGAAGTGATTAGGTTTATAGCCCATTGAAGCTTTCGACTGCCGGCAGAGGTTGGGTTTGGTGGGAAAAAAATTCAGTGCAAAAGAGAAACCCCGATAAAAAAGCCTAAAAACACACTAAAAATACCCCCAAAACCCAAACCTCTGCTTGGAGAGTAACACAAGCCCCCACCACTGGGAAGTTTTGATGTACCGCTCCCAATCATATTGACATTTACTGCCATTTCTTAGCACATTTTCTATACATGCACTTGCAGCTGGATACCTGTGTTCTGAGTCTCCAAATCTGGTGGATCGGTGGGGGTGATGCCAGGAATGTGAACAGCCTGGCTTGAACCTGCAAAAAGGGAAAGAACAGTGCTGGGTAGAGCTACCTGTTTGTGTTCTTATATGTCATTATACTAGGTTACTCGTTAACTTTTTAAGAGTTCTATACAAAGTTAAGGAAAGGATGAAAAAAAATGAAATTCTGAGTGACGTTTGAATTTGTTGTGAGTTCAGAAGGCAACCAGGAAGTTATGTTAGGCAAACATGAAAAAAAAAACTTGTCACAGATAATCAGGATCACACAATGAAGTTTACAAAAAAAAGTGAACTCCGAAGAAGAAAAGATGTGAAGTTGCTCAACGACCCTTCGTGTTAATCCCCAAGCAGATTCTGTTGGGTAAGGGGAGTCTATATTGGCTTCCTGTATCCATTGGCTTCCTGTGTAAACCATTGGCTACCAATGGATACAGGCAGCCAGTATAGACTCTGCATGCCCCACAGAATCTGCTTGGAGATTACCTCAGTGTAGCGCCCCTTATCTTTCAGTTTTAGTACTGCAGAAGTGCCCATCACCACCTAAGCTGCCACCTCCAAGAAAAGTTAGTACGAAGGAGATACTAACTGGAGGAGTTGGGGTTAGTCGTCGTCCCACCTGTGGAACACTTGATTGCCACGGCGTAACCATGGTTACAGGAGCTGACGTCAACGTCACGCAGTCCCCAGTAGTCATAGCTGCAGTCCTTCAGTCGCCTTTCGTCGTTGTTTGGGCAGGTGACCTGAAGAACGTGTTAAGTATACGTAGTATATGAGATAGTTTATCTGCCGGTCGTTACATAAAGGCAGAAGCGGATGGCATATGTGAAATTTTCAAGCAGATACAGGGGTGGTGATGGTCAGGCTTTTAGACTGACCTGGCTATCAAGAGAAACGCCGTTCACAAAACGTTACAAATTTCCATCCCACATCTGCTTGGAGATCAACACGTGTATGACTTGTCATTCCCAAAGCAAGTACAGCAAACTAACAACCCAGGCTCAAAATTCGTAAAATACAGCCAAACAGATGACTTGGTCTTTGGAGTTTTTTGGTCCACCGTGGCCGGTGTTCATGTACTGTCCTTGGTGCTGATTGAACAATTTTTTGCCGGATTCCACTATACTAACCCCCTTAGGAAGCCGTGGTGGAGGCTAACATACCTTACTCCCTGTATGGTGTAAAGTTATGTACCTTGCTTAACCAGACTGGAAGGTCGTTCCCGTCGCCATAGCTGCCAGGCCCGTACACGACGTCTGCAGACAGGTACCCGAGCTCCTGACAGACGACCCGGGCCTGCTTGTCCCGCCACCAGCGCTCCCAGGACGGTCTGTTCGGAACGTCACAGATCGTTCCCCAGGTACCGTCATGGTAGATCTCCACACGCCCCTGGGCACGATACGACCCTCCAGACAGCCGCACTGAAGCTGTGATCGTATATCATAACAAATATTGAGAATATAAATAATAATCGTTCCTCTGTACATCAAAGTTGGAGTCTTCAGAAAAGTGTTACCCAAGAAATTCTTTAGGGCGGCCGTAGATCATGCGTAGCCTCTACCGGTCTTCGAGGAGCGACTGGGAAGAGTAGAAATTGGCGAAATAAAACAGGTAACTTGTTTGAAGACAAAATTATTGCAAAGAGTGAGGAGCATTTTAGCGTAAAAGGAGCATAGAAAGCTTGAGAAATAAAAGGAGGTCCGATCACATATGTCGTGAGTTTACTACAATTATTTTGGGGGACAGGCGTTCTGATACAGCCAATTTTCACATCTTACATTCACAGAGGAGTCCAATGTCGTCATAATGTGTACATGAGTCCAGCTGACTTTCGCAGCCCCACAGCGTGTTCTCGTTCCCAGAACAGGACGGCGAGTACTGTATGATCCCGCCCGTGGCGTTCGGGAAGTGATCTCGTGCCCAGACCCCCGTCACTAGTCCGGGAAATCCCAAATGGCGACAAGCGACCTGGAAGATTGAATGAAACAAGAAATGCTTTTAGTCGGCAAATGCATGTTTACCCTCGCATATGGTCTGCTCTGTTAACTATTACTCAAACACATTCACATATATTGTGACAGGAGTGTAAATCCCTCCTACTATAAAATTGCAAGATGGAGAACAAACTAACCCTGAACTCCTCTTCGCCCCACTTGGTGCCGCAGACAGGTGCCCAGATACCGTCCCTACTGGAGAACTCCAGCCGGCCCTGGTGTGGCACCGGCCCGCCCCACAGCCGGATCTTCTCTACGGTACGGAAAATGATAAAGTTTTATATACACACCATCTTTGTTTTGTGTCTGCTTATTCGGCGTAACACATCAACTTTGCAGGCACTCGGTGTGGTAGTTAGCCTACACTGAGCTGCCTCAATCCTGGTTTGATAACTATAGTTTTCTCTAGTAGCCAGGCCGAGAGAGAGAGAAAGAGAGTAGTTCTAGTAGTAATTCTGTATTCTTCTGGTAGTTATAAGATACAAAGAATAGCTGGTACATCCAACAGTTCATAAACAAAGTAAGTACATCTGTATTTAGAAAGTGTATAAGACATGGTATACCTAAACACACAGCTCCGGCGACGTGTGAGTTTGGTGCACAGGTGCTGCTGTGGGTGTTACAGTCAGTCAAACTATACACGTCTGCAAATGGATGGATATACAAAAAGGGATATACATTAAATAATGTCGTAAATATGCAAACGAGAAATCAACAAACAAACAAACAAACAAACAACCAAAAAATCAAATAGACGTTACCTGATGCCGCGCACGTGAAAGAGGTACTGTATATCGGGAACGAGCCTCTTCCGAAGAATGACGAAGTGAGGCCGACGGACGACTTGACGCCGCCGAAGCCGAGCTGTCGGCAGGCCACGGCCGCCTCGTTCCCAGACCAGTCGGCGCCACAGACGGCGTACCACTGATCTCCGTCCCGTAACTCTATTCTTCCCTCATTCTCCGTGTCTCCGTCCACAAGTCTCACTGTGGACAAAACGTCCGAAATAGTTTCATCACGTTGGTAAAGTAAGATACAGGAGTGTTCATTTACTACAAAACCAAGATAGACTAACGGAAACGAGGGGGGATACAGACTCAGCCACGGTTGGGATTGTGTTCTCCTCGCAAAAGCGCCACCTACATATAGCGGCGAGAAGCAGAACTCCAGTCAGAATCTATGAGGAAGGTGTGTGATAGACATTGAAACATAAGCAAGGTTAGTCTATCTTGGTTGTGTGAAAGAAATCGTCTATATCCTGTGGACAAAACGGTTTAAACAATGCGTTTACAATTTTATTGTATTTTAAAAACAATAGGACAACATATGGGAGATGTGAGAAACAGAATAATATTATCTTCCACCTATCTGAATAATATATAAAGACATATGAAATGAAAAAGAAACAGAACACAAATCATACGCGTCAATTAACTGGAACAACAAAGATAAACAGAAACTAATGATCTGACAAAAAAGGTTAAATGTTATCGCCGAAAATGTCAGGTAGGAGACTGTTACAATACAGTCTAGGAAGAACTACTTAATCATTATGCTGCACACGTACTGTACCCAGTTAGTAACACAGGACCTTTATTAACGATCCTATAATCACAGGCCCATTATCCGACCCATTGAACACAGCACGGACAGAAATCACTGGTGGTTTCTGTGGCATGGGGACTGTCTCCAAACTCATCGTCTTTACAAACAAGAAATTCGTCTGCAAGATCGAACAAATGCTACGCATTTTGTTGCGTTAAGTATTGCACAAAAATCGCATGAATGAATACTAGTTACCATTAGACTAAACATACATCACGATGTGGACGTAAGTTTATTATAGCACGCATGTACTTTGATATTTGCCTAAGACGCGTAGCTAAATACAATGGATACAAGAGGGTGGGCAATTCACAGTGTACCACCCCCACTTATTGAGACATTCAAGCAAACTAGACAAATTATAGTTTCCTGTAATAATGATGGTTTCATCGTGTTTATCATAGCACGTACGTACCTTGATATTTGCCGAAGACGCGTAGCTAAATACAATACAAGTGAGTGGGTAACTGAAAGTGTACCACCCCCACTTATTGAGACATTCAAGCAAACTAGACAAAGTATAGTTTCCTGTAATAATGATGGTTTCTGTGATACGAGATATTCTGCAGCAGCCCTTCCACTGTGTAGGCTAGTCTCTACCAGACTAACTTCGCTGGCTATATATAGGAGAATAATTGCCAGGGGAGTTTGACCGCCTTGTAGGTTTGACTGGCCGCGCAGTTAGAAA